TTCCTCCTCCTCCATCTCTTCTTCTTACTGCACCCCCTCGAATATTTTTCGGTTAAGATTCAAGCTTAATGGGCCATGTAGTACCGATATAAATGTGTGCAAAAAAAGAAATATGCTCTTTGCATTATAAGAAGAAGTAGAAAAAGAAGAATAAAATAAGGGATGAAAAAAGGAAGAAGAAGAAGAAGAAGAAGAAGAAGAGGTAGAAGAAAAAAATCGTACCTTAATGGCACACGTCGTAGAAGGTACCTTATTTATAAGAAATCAGCCGCATCTTCATTCTTGTTCCCTCCCCTTTTACACCCACCCCATCTATCTCTATCTCTCTCTCTCTCTGTCTTTTTTTTTCTTCTCTTTCCTTTCAACCGCAGCTTCGATGTAGGTCAATGGATGCGGGAATGTCTTCTAAAGGTGTTTTCGAGGCCGTGAAAGCGTCGATGTATAAGATTTCATATATATATAGTTCTCAAAAGGAGGAGGAACAGAGGGTGGGTGAGGGTGAGGGTGAAGATGAGGGAGAAAGGAAACTCGTACCGTTCTCGTGCTTATCTGGAAGATGTAAAAGGTTCGTTGTCGTGTGCAAAGTTTCCAATGGAAGTCACTAAAGTGCGAGCATCCCTGTGAATTATGCATATACTCAAGAATCGAGACATTTTTTATAACCTAAGTTAAAGTATGATTGCGTTTGACTATCATTACGTTTCTCTTTTTCTACTACGAATACGATATCGTTTGTTTTCCAATCCTTTTTCTTTCTCTCTCTCAAATTTCTATCTTTATATCTCGTTTTACATATCGAGTTACTCATTTTATACAACTTACTGCGCCAAATTTTGTTTATTTCATATTGCTTTTTTTTGAAATAAATGTTTCATAGATATAGGAATGTAATATTTTGTTATATTTAAATATGATACTTAATTTTTGTATATGTGATAATAATTGATTTGTTAACAAATAGTAAAAACGAATAAGAAAAAGAATAACGAATTGAAATATTTCGATGTGAAAAAGAAAACAACAAAAAATATTGCAATTCGTATTTTTACCATTTTGTTTGTTTTATAATACAAACACAAGGTATAGTTTAAAATGAGAAGGATACAAAAAAAAAAAAAATATATAAAATAAAATATATTTACGTTTCTACAACGTTACTCAAATATTTTCGCGAATTTTTCTTTTTTACCCTGCCATGTGTGACTATTTTTAGGCTTTACTACTGCAAACACTTCCCTCCTTTATTTTTCTTTATATTTTGTACGAGATGAGAGAAAGAGTGAATAAAAAAAAAAAAAAAAAGGTTCGCTTCGGACTATTGTTCGAATTTATTGACATTTAAAAATCGATCTGACGTTATAAACGTGCATATTTGACTACCACCCCTTTGGAATTTATTATTGCAAAACTTGACGGGACATCAAATGTTCCGATACATCATCTCATGCATTTTGTTATTCTTTTAAATGTACATTATTTTATATATATATATAGATAAAATAACAGTTAATATTTTTCAACAATATAATAACTTCCAATGATTATTTTTTCTATTAAATCATTCGACTTATTTCCCACATTTAATCCCACTCATTGATATTATTATTTTCAATTTAATTGGAAGTATATTAAATTGCAATAACCTAAAGAGTATATCAAGTATACAATATTATAATATAATATATGACATTTTTTAAACAAATTATACGTCCACATGTATGTATATAAAAATACTTTACTAAAATTTGTAACTATCTGATAATAATCAAAAGTTAATTTTTCAATCGATGTATCATACAAACACACATGCATACATTAAACGTATAATAGTAAACGTCCATATATTGAAGTATATAAGAGTACACTTTTTTCCTTTCTCTTCTTTTTTTTTCTTTAAAGCAAACTCCTCGAGGCTACTTCATTTCATGGGCGGAAAATCGAGATAACGATAGCGAAAGTTAAGATGAAAATTTTCAAAGGTCCCTGTTTCTTCCCTCTTCCTCTTTCTTTACAAGGGTAAGAAAGAAAGAAAGAAAAAAAGAGATTGCTAGGTTTTTTTTTTACAAACAACGAATCGGTTTCGTTCCTTCCAGTAAGAACGAACTGGAAAACTTCATTTTAAAAGACTTTTTCCACGAACTTTAGATCCAAGTCCCGTTGTCGCAAATTTAATGACTTCCAACTCGTCGTTTATGAGACTTTGCTTATTTTCCTTACCCCGTTAAGAGTTCGCGCATCTATTTGTTCTTTTTTTTTTGTTCGTATATAACCACCAAGAAAAAGGAAAAGGGATGATACTTTTAGCTTAAACGTTATTTTCTCTACATACTTTTTTTTTCTTTTTTTTCAATTAAATAACAAAAATTGAACGAGTAAGCGGAATCAAGTTTATTTTTTATTATCTTCCCTCTCAAAGATTCGTAGAATTTTTTTCTTTAGCTAGAATACAGTCAGGATTCGTGAATTTTAGTTATTAATATACCTACGGCGATAGTCGATTATTTTGTTTTTTTTTTTTTTTTTTTTTTTGGTTTTTTAGTTAAGTTTCTAGATGGAATAATCCATTTCGATTGGTTGATCCAGTCGTCTCTGTTTTGGAAATGAACCGATATTGGATGTATACGCTTGGTTGTGAACACAGAGAATCCTCTAGCGTTTAAGTTAATCGTTGGACCGTCCATAATACGTGTTTCATCATGTCTTCCTCGAATTTGGTTTAATTTTAGGTTGGATATACAACGGTAAGATGAACTATGTTATTGTAGACACGTTTCAGCGAAATTAATAATTTCATGTAAATTATTAGATTGATATTTCAATCGAATTCTGGTAACATTGTTCTCGAACTTTTTATACTTTCAAAAAATATCGAATTATTCCCTCGTACTATTTATTCTTTATTTTTTTTTTTTTGAATATTAAACTTTATTCATACAATTAATTTAAGAAAAAAAAAAAATATTTATATTAGTGCATCTGTTCTTTCCTTTCATTTTAATTACTTTTATTCTTATTTTATATATTGTTCTTTTTTTATTATTATATATTATTGAATCCGATATCCTCTCGTTGCAAAAAAAAAAACAAAAAATGCATTGAATATTTAATAAAGGAAACGTTGTAGGGAGACCTCGCCAATTTTGGGACGATAAATCGAATCGAAATGCAAATATATTTGGTGGGTAATAGTTTGTTCTACGTTCTGCATTTCCAAAAGGATTGGGTATGCTAATGATCGTTCTGTATGCGTTAACCCGTTGTGTCGTTAGAAACGTCCTCGTACTTTTCCTTCCAAGATTTCCTTCCAAACGTATTTTCCTTCCTTTTTCCCCTTCCTCTATGTTGAATAAAATAATCGTAACCGAAAGAATATTGCAGCCATAAAGAAGACACATTATTCTCACAATTTATTGTATAATAAATTATATAATGTCGCATTATTGCTAAATCTAAATTTACATGAAATCATAAATAACAATTTCAAATGAACATCAACAAAATGTAAATTGTTTGTTGATTAGTACAATCGAATCATTGATTATATTCATGATATATTAATGTACGAAAAAAATTAACTGAGATCACATGATTAATACGATTGAAGAAGTATCATTCAAATATAAAATAATAGAAAGTGAATAGAATCGAATTCATTATATTTCTCTTCTCATTTATTTTATTTTTCTTATCATCATTTATTTATAAAAAAAAAAAAAAGTCAAAGCTACCCTTAAATATTTCTTGAAATATCATAAAAGAAGATATTGAAATACCATTCCAATGTGTTAGCATTGCAACAACAAAAACACTCTTTCAATAATAATTCTATTAAAAGAAGATATGAAAATATTGTCTATTACAATTTTGTATTTCGTACTAACGGGATTCCTTAGCTTTTCGAAAAAATTCGTTCCCTTTACTTACATCGTTTTCTCTTTAGGTCTACTAACTTAGATCGTTATTAAAGCAAGTAATCCAATGAGATTGAGGTAAAAGGAAAGGCGTGAAAATCACCAAGTTCAGATGACTGGACTCAACGAAATAGAAAGATAAGAGTTGTACGTGTGCAGGGGTCTGAGAAAAAAGGAGTAGAAAAAAAAATAAATAAAAAGAGAGTGAAAAAGAAAGAAAGAAAGAAAGAAAGAAAGAGAGAGTGTGTGTGTGTGTGTGTGACATATGGGACACAGTGATGTTCCTAAACGAGAAGAGAAGACTGGTAATCCCTTTACTGCTACACAAGAAGAGACTTTGACACTGACGAGCTTAGCGTTTAGAGACTTTTCTAACCATGTCAAGTTGGTCTAAGAGAGATAGCTGTGTCTTGAACCTCTTTCCCCTCTTCTATCTACCTTCTTCTATCAACCCCCCTATCCCTATTCCTATCTCTATTTCTTTTTTTCTTTCTTTCTTCCTTCTTTCCATTTTCTTTTTTCCTCAAGGACGTTCAGACGCGATGAAGGGTGGTGGTGGTGGTGGTGGTGATCTATTCATTCCTTCAAAGCTCTTGGAAAAAAGGGTGTTCGCGATCGAAACCATAGGTGCGCCAGTTAAAAAAAAAAAGATCTATCACTTTATTGGTTATCTCTTTTTTTCCTTTCCCATCCAGTTAATGGTTAAGTTGAATTTACGTCTCCCATCCCCCTCCACCATTCCCGAAAGAATATAAGATATGAATATAGAAAGAGTACGATTTATTCTATCAATCTCTGAAATGAAATGAATTTTGTTCGGTGATATCGATTTCTATGGGGTTTTTTTTTTTTTTTTTTTTTTTTTTTTTTTTAAAGAATTCATTGAACCATTAACTATAGATATATTATTAAGGCTTATCTCGAATTTCTTTCACGAGGATTCGAGATTTTTTTCTTTTTGTCTTCTCTCCCATCTATTTCGAAAGCTCGTTTTCATTTATTTTTAAAGTGAACTCATTGGAATGATTTATTCAATCGATATTTTGAATCATAGTGATTTGACAATTAAGTTTAATCGATTTGTTTCAGCTGGTCGCTCACGAAAGACGATTGTCGACCTCAGCTTCCCGAACAATGGCTGCTATGAGCTTAGGATTCATTGTAATGGTCACCCCATGGACAATTCAGGAAGTCGTTGCAGCTTGCACTGGAAGTAAACCTCCCCCGTTCCTTGACTTTCTTGCTACCTGGCTTGCTCTTTCCAATAGTTTTTGGAATCCCTTTCTTTACTGGTTGCTCAACAATCATTTTCGACGAATATCGAGGGAGTTACTTTACACTAAGGTATAATTATTATAATCATTTATATTTCATTTGTTTTTTTCGAATATAACTTTCAATTTATTCAGTATTTTCTCTCGTCCAAAATTATAATTCTTAATGATAAGGGTTCATAGGGAACTTGGACATAAAAAGAAGTAGAACTTAATTTAACTAAGTTGTTAATTTAACTTTCAATTTTTGTTATTTAATTAAATATGAAACGTGTCCTATTGTTTCGATTATTTTTTATTAGAAATCCTACATTTTATGCTCCCAATAATATTATATATAATAATTATTTACTTAATCAGAATAATTTTGTTTTTGCAAGGATTTAATAGATACGATAATGAACAAAATCCTTTTCATTAATAGCAAATCCATATCTAGGTAATCCTTGTAAAGGTACCCTACGAACGATTGATCCCTGCAATATCATTCAACGATATGAAACGATATAAAACGATACTCACGTCAAAGCCATGCATTAACGAAAGGTTTAATTCGATAAAATAATTTTCAATAAAAATTATAATCATTAATTTTTGTTTTTTAACAGAACAATTTTTACATTCGAGATAATTGATGCCCGAGTTAAATAGAATTTTTTTTATGAAAGAAAGAAAGAAAGGTGTTTTTTCTCTATAAATGAAACAACATTAAAAGAATTTTATGAGATTTAAATCGATTAGAGTGTATTGCACCGTTTCACGGAAAATATTTACATAATCCGCGTTTCCACGTTTCATTTATTTTTTTTTAATCCCGTATGATTATTGAAAAGAAAAGTTAGTCATATTTATGTAGAAAGAAAAATAGTAAAAAAAGAAAAAAAAAGTTGTCGAAAGCAAATACCGTTAAAACCTATTGAAAGTAGTTTAAAAAGGAAAGAAAAATAAACGAGTGAGTAATATTGCAAGGAAAGGAAATGCTACTATTAAAATGATATTGACGTCTTGCTAAAAGCTTCTACGGATTAATAAATTTTTTATTAACATTATTAGAGACTTTATTAATCACTCTTTGTAATCGTAAAACTCCATTTAAGATAATCAAATCATCGAAATTAAATTCACGTAGTGTTTTCCTCCTTTATTTATTTTTTTTTTTTTTTTTTTAATTTCTTTATATTTTCATTTCATTATTTCTTTTTTCATACGAATCAATTTTTAATCGTACGTAATATAATACAAAAAATCGAATCGTATTAATTGAATTATTATTGTTCAATTTTTTAACAAGTTAATTGAAACATTTTTGTTATCAACACCTTTATCATTTAACCATTTTATATCTCTCGTTACGGTTTATTAATTTATTAATTTCAAATGTTTATTACAAAAGAAGAATATTCATTGAAAATACGATATGAAATACGATTTCAAACAATAGAGAAATATAAATGCGGGTTTTATTCACGTTTACCAAAAATTCTGGATGAAAGATTTAAACGATTTCATATATAAAGTATATTTATATATATATATATATATTAAATAAAAGCATGTTCGATTTTTATCTTTTAACGAACTAGTCCGATCGAATCGCGAATGTAAAATTTGTCCCTAGGAAATATCTTTAACTGCAGAGCGTGGTTTTTGTGCAGGACCATCGAATAAATCGCGTCAATGCGTTTAAGGATGTTTGGGTGATACAATCGGCGAGATAAATGTGCTAAAAATTTAAAATTCGCGAATATCTGCGTTTTAAAACACGTTTACCAATGTTACCAATAATGTTGAATTAAATAAAAATTGATAAATAATATGAAAAAAATGTTTAATAAATTTGAACAGTTAATAATGTACCTTGATTTTATAAAAACAAAATTAAGAAAAAGAAAAAAACAAATTTATTTAATCCTAACGGAAGTTATTTTCAATTAAATCGCGATACACGTTTCGTTACGCGATTTGAAACGATTTAACGACAATCTTCTCTACGTTTTTCTACACATTTTCGGATCTCTTAAATTTGGTTCGAGCAAATGAAGGGTAAAGGGGAAGTGGAAAGGTTCCTTTTCTCTATACTCTACCACTATCTTTTTTTCTATTTCTTTATTTAACTTCGTCCAACATTCAGGACAATGCATCTTCCCCGTAGCGACTTTGCAAGCCATGAATTCCGAAACGGTCGTCCTCTCATCGTAAATCTTTCATCTTTGGAAAACGTGCAGTTTTTCTCTTTCTTTCTCTTTTTCCTTCTTTCTTTCTTTCTTTCTCTCTATCTTCATTTCGTTGGTTTATACAGAGCCTACACGATCGTATCACGTGCTGGGCTTGACAAGTGGTCTTATGCCGTTTCACCAATCGATTTATCTTTTGAAAAACGGTAAGAAAAGAGAAAAAGAAAGACAAATGGATAGATAGATAGATAGATAGATAGATTTCGATTGATTTTTCAATAGTATCCTCTATTGTTTTACCTGATAAATATTGATAAATATAAAATATTCCCTTTTGAAAAAAAAAATAATACGATTTATTCGATGGTTTGTGAGAATTCCTTAATGTACAATATCGTAAATAAAAGTGACGTTTATCTAAAATATCATTTTATGTACGAGAAAAGAAAAAGAAATAAATAAATAAAAAAGAACGATTGAAAAATATAATTAAAAGATTAATTATTAATAAATTAGTTTGTGTAATTTATTTTTCCAGTTGCTTTGCAGACCAAAGCCATTAGGACCGAAACAACATTGTTGTGCAACGAGTACAGGAGGCCTCGACGTTTGCAGTATCAGTGGAGTAGATTTGTCAGGTACGATATAATCAATTATTCATTTTGATTATTTTTTAATCATTATTTCGACGACGTTTATTGAAAAAGTTTTCTTCGATAAAAAACAATGGGGGAGTGGGGAGAAGGGAAGAACAAACACGACGAGAGTTGAAATGGGAAAAGCCTTTTAAATATTTTTTTTATCGTCAAAGCGAGAATTAATAGCGATGTTATTAACAAAAAAATCTATGTAGTCCTGTTATTTGATACGAGAGGGGAAAAAAATTGAAAAAAATAATAATAATGAGAAGAAGAAAAGAAGCAAAAAAGTTGGTGGTACATTGGTAAGTGCAGAAAACTCGTTTACGCGAACCGCGTTATTGATTCTCTCCTATCTAGTTCATTTCGCGTAAAGTCACGTACAGGAATATACGAAAATTTTTCCTCAAAGAAGACGTTAGAAAAATTCTAAGAAAATTTCATACTCGACCATCGGATACGAGAAGGTTCTTCTTTTCTTCCTTGAGATTCTTTGATCTAAAAGCTTTTCTAATATTTCCGCGAACAAAATTATTCAAATTAATATTAAACATTAATAGAAAAAGAATATTTTACACTTTGACGAGTAATGTACTTTCCATTTAAATTTTTATATCAACGATAGAACTTGAAAAAAGATTTGTTCTAATAAAGGGAGAGAACCAAGTTGACAGTTTTCCATTTAACATGAAACCAGCTGGTTGATAAGACTACATGTGAAACTTGTCCCCTTGTTTTTTTTTTTTTAATGGTTAAGTATTGTTTTTACAATGTACGATCCTGATAGACTCCTACGATTGTGTAGAAATTAAAAAGAAAAATCAATGTTCTGTCAACTTGACACTGTCTCTTAGTAAAAGAAATTAATAAAAAAGAAACTTCATTAAAATCACAGCAATGCTATATATTTATATAATAATTTTTTAACAGAAAAAAAACGTTGTCGGGATGAATACGTAAATAAACAAATTTTGTACAACAATTGACAATTATCTTTCCATTAAATTATACTTTTTTAATTGACGATCAAAAATTCCATTTGAATTATTTGAAGTTAAATAACACGATTATGGGATTTAACCAGAGTTTTTCCATGATAAATATTTTTCATTCTCGGATTAGAGATGGTAGAGTAAAATCTAAAGGATAAAGTTAAAACTATTTAGTTTGTGGTATTGCGATTAAACGAACAACTCGTTCGAACTCGTGGTAATAGTTTCGCGTGACTGCGTGGAAAGATGATTGTGCAACAAGTGTCATTGCATGGGAGGACGTAGATACGTGACGTGTATGTTATATACATGGATTTTCTACAAAGGAACTCTTGTTTCAGGATTGGAACGTTGCTCAATGGATCGATGTTCCATGGCAAGATGTTCATCATCATCTTTAGCCAACAATCCATCGCCACTTCCATGGGAAACCGGCCACATGATACGAGGGGATATTACGCCCACGTGAGGTCCGTTATATTTATTATTATTCATTAATTATTTATTCATTAATCACGAATTTCCTAATTACAAATTGTTAGAATTAATTCGTAAATAAGTTAAGATTATTATGATATTAAAATATTACGAATGAAATTCAATGATTTTTCCCATTGAGTTTAATTTTTTTTCTATTAATTACCGGACATAATTAACTCGTTCTCGATAAATCCGTCAAATTAATCATTAAATTTGAATCGTAACATTTCCTATAATTACGGTATACATGTCTGGCCACAAATTGAACATCAATATAAAATAAGAACTACGATATTAACTGAATTCTGTGCTCGATCGATATGTTTTTAAATTTCTGTCAATAATTATTAGCACTCGTATCGAACCTCGAACGTCATATTTACTCGTACAGTTAAATGAACGAGACACGCGTTTACAAATGATTGATAGTAAAACAGATTAAACACGATCAGAGAGCAATTAACTATTTATATAAAATAGACGAATAATTCTGGAATAAAAATAATGAAAAATAAAAATATATATATATATTTTTTCTGTCAACAGGAAGGGATGCCGCCACGCAAACGGACGATCCGGGATCACCGGACCACATCAGTTAGTATCGCGTGGCGGCAGAATCAAATCTGCTGATTAAAAAACAAGAACGACGACGAAGAGTGTTCAACGACTACGATGTCGAATTTTCTTCGTTATGGTCAACGAATTATCTTGTCCCATCATTAAGGGGAAGTTACCTTCTTCATCGTGATAGGTCTTCATCTTCCTCTTATCACGAAAACAATGGGACAATTGAATGCTCGAAGACTCGCCAACGTTCGCAACGAGACAGACACGTCAAATACGCGAGCTTTATCAGCTTACCCGATCTTGTACCAGACAAATCTGATAAATCATGAAAAATAGAATATTAAAATTGTTTTCAAGATCCTATAGAATTAAGAGATCATATTTTGTTGTTCCTTCATTATTTTTTTTTTTTTCAAAAGAAGATAATTGTAAGACGTGTTTGGAAAAAATTGAAAAAAAAAAGAAGAAAGAAACTTAATATTTTCTTTACTTTAATTGATTATTTTTTTTCTTTTTTGAAAGGAAATCTAAGGTGTACTTGAAAAATAAAGAAAAACAACAAAAAAATTAACAATTTTAAAAAACGCTTTCATTTTATATTTTTCTTTTTTCAAAAACGAATGTAAGAAGAAAAAGAGAGCCAATACTTTTGTGATCATCGACATTAAAAAAGAGAGTTAATATTTACTTATTTAATTATATTTAAGAATAAAAAACACACACGTAAGAGAAATAATTCGATAAAACAATTCGATAGAAGTTCTAATTTCTATTTTCCAAAAATTGTTAAAGTTATAATTATATCATTTTTAATAAGTAAACATGTAGGACAAAATTTATCGAATGTTTTCATTGTATAGAAGTACACCTTATGGTTTTTTTCCTTTTACAATATAGAAAAATGTGAAAGTAAATTTTGTTTTTTGGATAAATTTTTGAGAGTCTTTCTTCTTTTTATTTGTACTTTTAGGACGAAGCACGAGGAGAACAAAATTAAAAAGTACTTTTCGTTCTTTTCTATTTCGTTTATACGCGGGTGTTTTTAGAATAACATTGTGAGCCCGAAAAAGGGACTTTAGAAAATCTTTTATTGTTTTTCACTTCAGTGAACAAATAGGTAAGTTTCATAGGACGGAACAATTTAATGAACATTTTTATTACCTTTTTTTTCATTATTGTAAAATATGATAACGTAGAACAACACGTGTTGGAAACATTGTAATAATATTTATTTGTTTTTTTACGAAGGAAGAAAACGAGAGTCGAAAAAGATTGTAACATAAATTTAAGATTTAATTTTTAATCAGATTTGTGTGATAGAAAATTAATTTAATTAATTATTTGTACTTGAAGAAGAAAAGAAAGCAGAACAAGATCGGGTCCGCGGTGCCTGAACAAAAAACGGAGAGACCGAAAGAAACTGTCGAATAAAAGTCTCTGTTTCTCTCTTTACTAATAATATGAATTTATCGTGAAAGGAAATATAAAACGCACAATGTACATTTCTTGAAGGATGTAATATTAACGCAATGGGGAGAACAATGTCGTAATTAGTAATTCGTAATTCATAACTTTATGCAATCTTGTCGTAAGCGATACTTCGAGTACCATTTAAAAAAGCAGTCTTCAAGTTACTACTCAATGTAAATCGTTTGTGAAAATCATTTTTTAGGAAATAATAAAGAATCCTATGGAAATATTTAATTGATGCTGTGATTTTGTAAGAATTATTAATTTCTTTCATATATTTATTTTTTAATTTAAATGGAAATATCTCAAAAGGCTTCTCTGGGAATCGTAAATAAAACACGATGGTTGTTGGAATTTAGAAAGCTTTTTACAGACCATTCTTATGGATGGTATACGTTGTCGTACATCAAAGGGAAATATTTCTTTCTATTCTTCGCTGGAAAATTCCAGCGCACACACTTTTATATTATCTAGTAAATATATCTTGATAAAATGTGTCATCTATACTACATTAACGCATTTTAACAAAAATTTAACAAAATTTTGTTTAGTTTCGATTATTACATGTTATTCAAACTGTGTATAGCGTTTAAGTATTTATTATATATTTTCCAAAAATTTTTCTTTACTAGTATTTCGGAATTTTTAAAACGATTCCCAGCATTATCTAACATTAAAAATTGATCATAATGCAATTAGTGGATATAGTGCCAGATAACGCTAAATTTAGACACACATTTTCCCCTTTTTTTTACAGGTATACCAGGAAATATTTCTTATCATAAAAATACTCTGTTTCACCGACCGAGATTCTTCTTCCTACGCAATTTTCTATAGACCAAGGTAGGAGAGATTTAGACAAAAATTGAAAATGTGCTGCTATCTTGAGATAAACATTATGAATTGT